TCATGAAACTTCGAAGAAACTATATTTTATCTTTATGTCTCAGAAAATTCAACTGATTAATCTAAATAGTTAATCACAGGTAGCAGATACATGTAAGTTATGTCACTTTCATTTTCTAAATCGGGAGCTTGTACCATCTCTTCTTTGCTGTACAGTTAGTTGGAAGCATATTTAACCACGAGGTCCTAGTTTTCAGGGAAAGGTGGGAAGATAGGGAAAAAGAAAAGGTTTGCAGCTAGTCATTTACGTGCAGGTACTCTAAATGTATGCATTTACATGCATGTTATCTATCCGTATTAACAGCAAGCATGGATGCGCCCATGGAATCAATTTAACAAGTTGAAGGGTTTCAACCATGAATGGGCTAGTAATGGAGGGATACAGCACAGTTATGACAAATCTAAACCAATATATGAAGCAAAATTTGAGATTATAACTGTAAGCCAACCACCATGTAATCCTTGCCTGCTAAAAGAACGTATGACCATGAATGCATCATTTGAAAAATTTCTAGAGCCTATTTGGTACAGGATTACGTACGTAGCTAATGGCATCTTTAGAGATTCTAAAATTCTAGCATATTGGAGCGAATATCTAATTCTTCAAACTCGGAATTGTAGTATAGTATGTTTGCTGCAGCAAGAATTCTACATGCAAACAGTAGGGAAACATTGATTAGGAGGAAAAGAAACCATGAAGATTATAAAATCAATATAGAGAAAAATGATTAGTTCTAATATAATTCTAAGGTTTTTGTTCATAAGGTAAGTGAAACACAAACCTGAAAATGACCACGACAAAGAGAATCAAGTAAAAACCAAGCTTGATAAACCGGAGCTTCTTCTCAAAATTGAGATTTCTGAAAACCTCGGTAACATCAATAAGATGCTTCTGCTTTTTATACCTAAAGCATAGAACTAGAAAGAGTTATTGAAAAAATAATAGATTCAAATTCAATATTACATAAAGATATAACGATCAATGGGCCAATTTTTAGTACATCTACCAATGTGGTTGGCATGAATAGACAAACACGTTGTAACTTCAAATTATAATCAAGATATAAGTGCTGAGGAAAAAAAATTTCTGATTGTTTTAGTGATGAAATAGATTTACATGCATGAATGAAGTCTCACCCTGAGAACAAAAACTCATTTTCCACTTCATCTAAGTGTGTGCCCGAATTAACTGTCTCATATTTAAAATCTTTTTTCCACTGTATCAAAACCAAGAGTTCAGTTGACCTTTAGCATCTACAGATCACATGATTATACGGTGATGTATGTCATACAAGCCACATAATCAGATCACTTAATCCTTTTTTTCGAGAAACAAAAGACAATGCCTTTTCTTCTATCATTGAATGTTGCCAGAAACTGATAAAAGATCCACAACTCCGAAAGACGAAGTGGTGCATTAATGAAAACAAGGCAAGAAAACTTGAGAAGTGACTAAGAATTGTATTTTGGAGAATGTTAAACGCTTTTTAGTCATTAAAAGTTTATGTTTAAAAAGAAATACTTTTCAAAAATCATAATCTAACAGTTAAAACACTAGTCCTTACAATTATTATATGCGAACTTGAGCTTGCACAAAAAATATCCTTTTATTTTCTGAAAAAATTACTACTCCAGTTGTCAAAAGAAACATACCTAAGAAGTAAAGATGACCAGTTAAGTGATACAAAAACCAAAAAGTTGCTCTCATATATTTCAATTAAATCAAATTAAGAAACCATTTAGGTTCATTAAATTTGAAGAAAATGAAAGACATGTAATAAAAACACTCTTAGGGACAAATGTTGCAGAGATCTACAGAAGCTCATGCATATTGAAGTTATCCCTTTTTTTCTTGCATACAAAGAACAAAGCCAAAACTATATCAACTCCAAGGCAATATCAAATCGGCATAACTTTTATTTTCTTTTGCTTAAGGAAATCATATGTATCCCTCATTATCATCTATATACATCAGATACAACAATATATTATCTATAATATATAATGTTTATTTATATATAACTTTCATCAGCAATTCCATTTAGATATAGTTACAGAAAAGGTTAGAAAGAGATATATCAAATAAAAACATGAAAAGAAGAATATTTATTTGATCTAGTCTCGTAAAAAAAGGTCTTTTTTGATTTCCACAACACAGTTTTAAGAATTAAATGATAGTCACTTAAATTGGGAAACATTGATTTTTTAATAACTGAAGACAGACTAAATGAGAGCATTATATCAATTATCTCTAGTGATATAGTATATGGATTTATTCTTATGTATATTGTACTTACAACATAGCATGGTAGCAAGTAAGGGGAACTGCAAAGAGAAACATGAACCAATGCCATGTCACAAGATAAAGACCAGATAGTACTCCTTGCAATATAAATTCTGGGATGATCAAACCATTAACACGGGATGATGTTTCAAACGGATTCATAAAGTCAGCTTCCAAGTCTGTTAAGCATATAAGCTATAAAAAAAAAAATTAAACTGTTAGATATTTTCACTTGATAATCAGTACCAGAAATTTCTTTAAAAGAAGAAATTAACCAAATGGGATTGCATTGTTAATTAAGACACTGAAAGCATGAAACTCCTGCTTCTATCTCTTCTTCATTCTGCCTTGTCTCCTTTTCAGAGTAATTTACTCCCACGGGTGTCTAAAAAAGCTTTCAGTAAGAAACAGTAATACACGAGGAACCATTCAAATTGATGGCTTTCTTCCCCTGATAGAGCTATTGTCGATATACAGATACCAATAACTACATATATGCATATACCCCACAGATCAAATTCAACCGCAACACAGGTGAGATTCCAGTGGCATTAACCCCAAGCTAATTGGCTCCGGGAAAATGAAGAAAACCAAAAGAAGCTATTAAGAGATTAAATGTACTGATTTATCGTATTATTCTAGAGCAAAGCAAAACTCTTAATCTTCGCTAGAAATGCGTGAATAAACTGGGAAAACAATTTTAAAAAATTCTCCATCTTCCTTTATTTTCCTCGGTCTCACTAGCCAAATGGATAAAGCTGTAGGATTAGGGTTTAGACTTCCAGACATACAGGAGATCAGTACATACTTCACTCCACAGTGCGGAGAGAAAATCACTTAATAACACCTAACCTAAAATAGAAAGTTAAATCCCAATGCATATTTTCACGTCTCTACAACCCGAGGAATTTCCAACAGAAATTTCTTGAAAAACAGGAAAAGCGAAATCATTAAACCTTTTCTTACTTTGATTTTTCCCTGGAACCAAACATGCATTTAATAATATATATACTGTTTCTTATTGCTTAAATTGGAAATAGAAAGTGAAGCACCTGGTAAAAGGTGGAAGCAAGCAGAGCTAAGTTGACGAAGAAAGAGAAAACCCAAAGAAGCAAATCCCAAGCCATGCTTGAAAGTTCCAAAACCGGAAACAAAACAAATAACCGTGTAAAAAATCACACTCAATCTTCCTCGTTGACACAGCAAATTCTGAGTTAATCAGAGACTGCGAGCACGAAAAATCTCAGTCTATACTCTACAGTATCATCACGATCGCCATTTTTCTTTCTTTTCATGCTCAAATCTCAGCAAAGAAAATTTTTTTAATCCACCAGTGATATTTCCGCAAATAAGCAAAACATCAGGGGCTTTGAGAAAAGTGCAATTATTTATTTATTTTTTAAATTATTTAAATTCGCCAATTAAAATATTAAAATTAAAATAAATAAAAAATAAACATTTTTGCAATTTTACAAAGTTCTGAATTTAATATGTGCAATAATAATTTATAATTCTGTTAATTAATTTTTTTTAAGTTCCAAATTAAATAGATAACCAGACAAAAAATTACTGGGCCGAAACCCGAAGCCCAACCATGAGCCCAATATTTGGGCCTAGTAGGCCCATATCGAAATCCTATTCTGCCCGAACACCTGTACTTTGTTCTACAGCTGAACCAGCGTACCGCGCACCCGCAGTCCGCGACTCTGTATGGATTTCCGGTGTAAAGCTCCCGTAGCCGCCAATGCAAGTTCGAGCCGTTCAACCGCTAGGGTTTCTTCACAAACCGGCGTCGTTCAAACTCAGATACTCTACAAAGAAAAGAACAAAACAGAGATCCTCCGTCCAATCTTGCGCTCCCAAACGGGACCTTGAAGGCCAATCAGTCGCTGTAAGATCATTTTCATTTCTAAGTTTTGAATAACTTGAATGGCGTTTCGTGAAAAATTAGACATAATGTGTTGTGATACAATGTGAGCGTTACTGGCATTTTCTGTGATTATATTGAAGTCTTAAAAATGGATATTTAAGAAATTTTTATCTCCGGCGAGCGAGTCTGTGATTGTACTAGGGCGTGGAAGTGAGATATTGGCGGAAGAATGTAAAAAGAGGAGACAGTTAAGAACTGAAAACATTTAGTGATGCTATAATTTGCTTAGGTAAAATGATGAGATGAGAACACGTGAAGGATGAGAAGAAGAGTTTTATCATGATTAAGTAAAGGAATGCAGCTGGAATTGAACCAAATGAGGGCTAAATATTATAGCGATGAAAAAAGGATGAGGTCCTGAAGGCCATAAAAAATTCACTCTGAAATATTGAGAGTTTGTGGTCATTCAAGTGAAACTAATCATAGAACCCATAAAAAGATACTTATGGTCGAGGTTGGTGGCGTCCTGAAAACTAAGACTAAGGGTTAGCTATAAATACTTGTCTTCAAGGCTGCTGTGTAGCCAGTTTGTTAGGTATATATAGTCTTTGATGAGCCCTTCTAGTTTGGTAAGAGTAATTCATTGAGTTGATGAATTTTGTTTGTAGTATTGATGAACCTAGTTGGAAAGTAGGAAAAAGAAAATTCTACTGTAAATCATATCTAAAGAACAAATAGAATAACTAGCATCACAATCTCAAACATGAGAACATGGTATGCTCTTAATGAGTTATCCCAACTGGGTATCATGAACAAAAATGGTTGCTATACTGTGTATATTTGATAGCTTTTGTTGAGGTGTAGGAGTAACTTTGGCCATATCTACCTTGGTTAGTTGAAGATTCACCCATTTATTGATCAAAGTGCTACTTCATGTTGTGTATCTGTTGTCCTTAAGGATACTTATGAATGGGAGGCAATAAGAATATTAAGCATAGTGGTTACATGAAGTATTAGAATTGAATTGCAGGTTATTGGTTTGGGAAAGTCTGGAAGAGCTGCGGCACGACTTGCTCTTGCTAGAGGTGCTTCAGTTGTAGCCATTGACCAGAATGAGAACTTGGGTTTGTTGGAGGTGCACTGCTGTAGTATCTCTTCTATTTTATTCTAAACTTCTCTTTCTCTCTCCACTACAATAGGTGTTTGAATGCAAATGTGCATGTGCGAGGGATGCACTTCCTTGTGTTTTTGTGCTTCATTCTAATGGTTAGATTGTCACTGGGTGCAGGAAGATCCACTTTTTATGAAGCATAGTAGTTTGAGAACAATTCTTGGGCACTTTGATACTGAGCTACTTAAGGATGCAGACATTGTGGTTCTTTCTCCTGGAGTTCCATTGGAAAACCATGGCATTTCATGTTTGTTACAGTCAGTAAGTTTACATGTACTTATTTAAACATTTAGCCTTCAGGAGATGCTAAAAAACATTGAGCTGGCTTTCTCTGTGATATGGTAACCAAGAGTTGATAAAACACTTTGTTTGTAACTATTACAACTTAGCTGTGTTATACTTTTGTACTCTTCTTTTATAGTCTGTTAATTATTGGCTTGTTCAACGCCTTTTCAGCTCATTTGTGTAAGGAATCTGAGAGAGTTATTCCTAATTGAATTGTTGCTTCTGTGAAGTCTTGGGCATACTCACTTTTGAAGCTGTCAGATGATTTTAACGAATAGTCTTAAGCTTTTTGCCATGAGCATCAAATTCTTTTCTAAACGTTGTTATCTTTTCTGATGTAGGGAAAGCTTATAATGTCAGAGATGGATTTTGCAGCAGAGGTTCTTCCAAAAGGTACCAAAATTTTAGCAGTGACTGGGACAAATGGAAAATCAACAGTTGTCACCTTTGCTGGACAGGTTTTGCCAATTTTTTGCCTATTCTTTTCAATCATCCTTTATTCTTTTTTTTTTTTTTTTTTCAGTTTTGCATTAATTTATTTTAAAGTTAGTGATAGTCACTTTGGAAATAAGCACTACTTATCATCGGCAAAGGGAAAAGTGAAAGAAAGTGACTATCACTTACGGTGGAAGTTTAATACGAACTAAATAAATTGGCCATGAATTTTTATAGGAATAGGAATCTAAAAAAATGGATGGAAACCTTGAAATCAAACTGTAGGAGTTACAATCTCCATTGATTTTGGTTAGGTTCCCTTCTTGTGTGCTCACATATTCTTGTATCGATCACACTAACAGGCATTGACTTTCTTTTTGGATAACTGGAAAGCAAATGCTAAATCACTTAGGAATTGAGGCTTTTGTTGGAGGAAACCTTGGCAATCCACTTTCAAACGCTTCTTTCGATTTTCTCATGTTGCCTTCTTCGAAATCAAAGTTTCAGGTGAATCTGATTGTTAAGCTGAATTTACTTCCGTTTTCTTTTCTTTTACCTTTTTTTTCCACTGGTACAATAACAGAGTTGGAAAATGCATAATCTATGGAATACTGTCGGTGGAGATTGCTTTAGAGTCTGAAATGTTTGAAATCTGGATGTTAACCTTACATCAGAACAGTTTTCAGGTTGCCGTGGTGGAGGTTAGCAGTTATCAGATGGAAATTCCTAACAGATACTTTTGCCCTTCTGTGAGCAGCTTTAAAACTTTTTTATTCAACTGCCTTGACTTTTTGATGGATTTTCCGTCAAATTTTGTTTTCAACACAATTTTGCAGGTATCTGTGGTGTTGAACCTCACTCCGGATCACATGGAAAGGCATAAGTCAATGAGGAACTATGCTATGGCCAAATGCCGTTTATTTTCTCACATGACAAATGCCAAACTTGGCATACTGTCTTCTGGTATGTGCTAATTTAATTGTTGAATTCCACATGCATGCTTGTTGCATGGTACTCATTCCTCAACTTCCATATTCCAGGAGGTTTGGTCATATTCTTAAAAGGTAGATAATGCTTGTTTCTGTTATGCATTCACAGTTGGTTATAAGTTTTAACAGTCAGTCATGTAATCTTTCTTAAGAAAACCATCACTTTGAATGAAGCGATCAGTGAACACGCTAACAAATTTTA